GGGGCACACAGAAGTGGGCACAGGAAAGCAGCAGCCAAAGACACGGAAAGGGTTTTTGTGCTGTGCAGAAAAACACACAAGAATAGAAATTTGCCCAGCAAAAATGTTGTCACAATGGAAAATGCAATAAATGGAACTCACTTTACAAAGGGACAGGGATCTGACTTTCACAGAGCTATGCATGCTATTGACCAACAGGTCGCACAGATCGACACTGGTTATGCCATTCACAGCCAGTCCCTTCTTTTCAGCCTTGCAAAATACTGCTGCTTTAGAAAACCAATGGACAACACCCATTATAACCTCGATGAGGTCCTTATAGCAAACAGCTTCTCAGAATGGTAGGAGCAGTAGCAGTTAGCACCAGCCCACAGACACTGATTAACTAATATTTTATTAATTACTATTTCAGCCCCCAACAATATACTAGGCACAGACATGCTATGTGCGTCTATCTCTCTGCTTTTTTAAGGGCATCCCTCCCTCCACCAGCAACTGGGTACAGACTAATGGGGCTCTGGCCAGGACAGCTTTCCAGGGTGCGAGGGGCTGCCTAAAGTGTGAGAAAGTCTAGCATTGGCCCTGGGAGGCACAATCTGTCAAGTTATTCCACATGCACTCAGGGCAGTTATGCCACCACAAACATACACTAGGCAAAGCAGCATGGAAAATACAACCAAAGAGCACACGGTATAGGTCTTGCCAGCCTTGCCTGTGCCAGGAAACTGATCAGCTTGTCTCAGAGTGTCCAGTTTATCCTGAAAGGGGAAGATTGGGTGTATTGGTAGAGCTGTGCAAAGGACATACAGGTGGAATAGCAAGAGGTGCTACAGGACAGAATTGATGTTCATTGGCAGAGCTGTGGAGGCATGGGACCCAGGATTGGAATAATCAAGGGGGCTGCAGGACAGGATCGAGCTATGCTAGCAGAGCAGTGCAGGCACCCAGGCATGGCATACGAAGGGGCTGCATTGGCAGTCAGTAGTGAGATACTTTGAAATAGTTGTTTGGGGGGCAGAAACAGAAGAGAAGATTCATAGATTCCAAGGGCAGAAGGGATAATTATGATCATCTAGTCCAGAGGTGGGCAAACTACGGCCCACAGGCCACATCCGGCTCGCAGGACCCTCCTGCCCAGTTCCTGAGCTCCTGGTCTGGGAGGCTAGCCCCCACCCCCGCTGTTCCCTCTTCCCCGCAGCCTCAGCTCACTGCACTGCAGGCGCAATGCTCTGGGCGGCGGGGCTGCGAGCTCTTGCCAGGCAAGACCTAGGGCCTGACCCGGTGCTCTGTGCTGCGAGGTGGCGTGGCTGGCTCCAGCCAGGCAGCACGGCTGCCTGACCCGGCTCTGGGCGGCACGGCTGTAGCGCCGCCAGCCACCAGTGTTCCAGGCAGCGCAGTAAGGGGGCAGGCAGCAGGGGGGGTTGGATAGAGGGCAGGGGAGTTCAGGGGGTGGTCAGGGGGTGGGGGTGGATAGGGGTTGGGGCGGTCAGAGAGTGGGGAACAGGGGGGTTGAATGGGGGCAGGGGTCCCGGGGGGGCAGTCAGGAATGAGAGGAGGGGTTGGATGGGGTGGCAGGGGATAGTCAGTGACAGGGGTTCCAGGGGTGGTCAGGGGACAGGGAGAAGGGGTGGTTGGATGGGGCAGGAGTCCTGGGGGGGCAGTCAGGAATGAGAGGAGGGGTTGGATGGGGCGGCGGGGGCAGTCAGGGGACAGGGAACGGGGGGGTTGGATGGGGCAGGAGTCCTGGGGAGGGTGTCAGGGGGCAAGAAGCAGGAGGGGTCAGATAGGGGCCGGGGCCGGGCCACACCTGACTGTTTGGGGAGGCACAGCCTCTGCTAACTGGCCCTCCATACAATTTTGGAAACCCGATGCGGCCCTCAGGCCAATAGTTTGCCTGCCCCTGATCTAGTCTGACCAACCGCCTATGTAACACATGCTATAGAACTTCCCCCAAAGTAATTTTTTTTTGAACTAGAGCATATCTTTAAAAAAATACAATCTTGATTTTAACATTGTCAATGACAGAAAATCCACCACAATCCTGGTAAATTGTTCCAATGATTAATTACTCTCACTGTTAAAAATATACACCTTATTTCCAGTCTCAGTATGTCTAGCTTCAACTTTCAGTCACTGAATTTTGTTATACCTATGTCTGCTAAACTCAAGAGCCTATTACAAAATATTTGTTCCCCATGTAGGTACTTATAGACTGGAAACAAGTCACTCCTTGACCTCCTCTTTGTTAAGCTAAATAACTTGAGATCCTTGAGTCATGCTGCTGCAGTTCAGGATTGAGATGTATGGTAGTGCTATGGGGGAGTGGAATGGCTGAGGTGTAACAGGTGCACTTGGAGCTGTGTGAGAGGGCCCCGGGTTTAAAATAACTTGAATGTTGCAGATCAGGCTTAAGGTGAATTAACAAATCTGGGTTAAGAGGGGATTTATAAGAGTGCCATGATATGCCTGTTGCAGGTGAACCATGAGGTGTATTGGCAGAGCCATGCAGGTCAGGAAAAGAAGGGGATGCCATGGGTCAGGATTGGATTGCCCTGGAGAGTTGTCATAAATGTCCTTCCACACCTGAACGAAGGTAGTGTAACTGCTGTGCCATTCTTTTTTTGCCTTTGAGCAGCAAAGTTCTGGCAACTAAGAATGGGGATCGTTTTATTATGAAGTGCCCTGGGGGCTAAAGAAGAAGGGAATTCTCCTACCCGCTAATGAAATTGACACCAAGCACTGCCCCAAGCAGCGAACTGTCCTGCAAAGAGATGAATCGCCTCGGCAGTGGAAGAAACTGCAATGCATGTGTAAGCAGAGTCAGGATGAGCTCTACCCTGACATCTGGTGGCGAATTATGGCGAGTGTGGAAAAGAACTCCAGGGGCGGATCTTGTTTGCATAGGCACACCCACACGCCTAGCATGAGCCCACAGCAACCGAAAGTGGTTACTTTGGCTGGTGTGGGATCCCCAGTTTCTCTGTTATTGGGGCAGGAAGAATAAAGTTTTGTTACCCTGATTCTGTGAATCAAGGCCAGTGGAACTGTTGTATGACAGAAGGACTGAGTGAATCCGTCACCATTACCTAAGTAGCATTTGCTTGTCAAGGGGCATGGGTTACAAAACCCAGTGAATTGAGAGAGGATGGGGACAGGTATTTGTACCTGATGGTATGGGCCCCCTGCTGAGGGTTTGAAACACCAATTGCACTGCCTCCTCTCTCCACTGTTGAATGTCAGAGCTAACTTTGATTCCCTTAGGAGTCTAGTTACAGGCTGCTGAGCTGAATTCACTTTGGGCCAATGGTGCACCAGCACTGGGGCTCCCCTACTATACTATGAGCTGAAATCGCTAAGAGCTGAAATCACAAAAGAGCTGAAATCACTGAGTGCTGTGTTAACTAGTGGGGGAGCCTGAAGCTATGTTGCTCAGCAGCTGGCGGAGCAATTTGTGGGGACGACTGGAGGAGCAGCGAGCGGCGTGGAGCCTTGAGGGGCCGGTTGGAGTGGCCCAAGGAACGGCGAGCGGAGCTGTTTGCGGGGACGGCTGGAACGGCTCACAGGTCGGTGAGCGGAGCGGAGCGGAGCAGAGCGGAGCAGCTTGTAGAGCGGAGCAGTTTGTGGGGTGGCAGGAAAGTGGACCGACTTGTGGTGAAGGCTGTGGCGGAACCCCCACGGAGAAACAGACGGCTGGCCAGCCTCGGATCACGTAAGGTGCCCCTTAACACCCTGCGTGCCCCCCCCCCTTTTACTCTGGGGCTGCACTGACCAGGGACAGAGACTTTGGGGGTTGTTGAACTTTTGGGACTTTGGGTGGTTGCTGGACCCAAGAGACTTTGGGGGTGTTGGACTTTGGGGACTTGGTGATTTTTGGGTTGCTGGATTCAAGAACCAAAGGGAAAGGACACTGCCCCATTTGCTGGGGTGGGTTTTGCTCATGGTTTGTGTTATGAATCCTGTTTGTGGTGTTTTTCCAATTTTATGCTGATGTCGTTTACCTCATGTTATTAAACATTTTCTGCTACACTCAGACTCCGTGCTTGCGAGAGGGGAAGTATTGCCTCTTAGAGGGGCCCAGGGGGGTGGTATGTAATTGTCCCAGGTCACTGGGTGGGGGCTCGAGCCGGTTTTGCATTGTGTTATTGAAACGGAACCCCTAGATACAGAACCCGGCCCTTGTTGCTGCCAACTAGATGGGCAGAAGGGTTACACATGATAGCGATCCTGGCCATAATTCAGCATGATCAAAGCGGCCAAATCATGCTAATTTCAGTCACAGTCCAAATGTCTCCTTCCTAAAACCGGCACTAATTACCAATGAGATGACAGCCCCGAACCAGCTTTCTAAAATCCAAGCCAAATGCAAATACAAACAAAAATTAGAGGCGCATTAGAAATTACATCTTCCCCCCTCCATCCCTTTGCTAGGTACCCCCTTCTTGCTGCCTCTCTTGAGGGAGCTGGCCCCAATCCCAGTGGGATACAATGTCAAGGCTTCTTCGGGTTTATGCTGGAATTCAGCCTGCTTTCCCCTTCGCAAGATCAACCTCAGCCAATGGCAGCCTCCGGCTCTGCTGCGAGGCGAGCTGGGATTGGTGCAGGAGCTCTGCTGATCACTGTGGAAACCCCCCCCCCCGCCCCAGTGATGAATGGAGGGGCATGCTGCTGGGGGAGGGGGAGGGCAGCGGGTTGAGGTTCCCACAGAGCAGGGTTATTAGCGGAGAGGGGAAGCCTATCCGTGCAGGGAAGAGCAGCCTAGGGGGCACTTCAGAGCAGGCAGCGGGGCGGGGTGACTGCAAAGGGGCTGGCAGCGGAGAGGGAAGGGAAGACAAAGAGAACCCCAGAGCGAACATGAGAGGCGGGAAGGGGGGAGAACAGGGGATCAGCTGAATTCAACCCGGGGGAAACGATCTTTCCTTCCAGCCGCCCTCCAGGAGGCGCAGGCAGGCCGGGGGGCAGCGGGCGGTTCGGGCAGGGGGGGCGCGGAGCGAGGGGCGCCCATGGGGAAAGGCGGGGAGAAAGGCGAGGAGGCAGGGGAGCGCGAGGCGCAGAGCCGGCTCTACAGCTGGGAGGAGATCCAGCGGCACAACCTGCGGACGGACAAGTGGCTGGTGATCGAGCGGAAGGTTTACAACATCACCACGTGGGCAGCCAGGCACCCGGGCGGCCCCCGGGTGATCAGCCACTACGCCGGCGAAGATGCCACGGTAAGGCACAGCCGCCTCCGGGGGGCTCTGACACCTGCCCGCGGCTCGGGGTGGGGAGGTGCGGGGCGCTAGCGCCCGGCTGGCCGCGGGGTAGCGCCGCTGAAGTCAGCCGGGGGCACCAGGTGAGAAGCGGGTGGGTGGGGAATCGCAAGGCTTCTCCTCCCCCCCCCCCCCCCCCCCGGTGTTTGCCTTTGGTCTGGTGCAGCCTCGGCCCCTTGAGTCCGGGATCAAGCGATCCCCAGTTCTCTCCCTGCCTGGCAGGTGGCCCTCGCGTGGGGAGCCCCGCTAGCCAGCCCCCAAGACAGGGGGTAAGCGGGGGGGGGGGGCAGCGCAGGCTCCGAAGTGGCTCTTGCAGGAGGGGGGGCTTGAGGGGGCAGAGCGGGGAGCCGCTTTGCTCTCTCCCCCAGGAGGCAGGTCTCTAGTGGGCTCTGCCGCCCTTTGTAAGGAAAGAACCGGATCCGTTTCTCCCAGGCTGCTGCCACAGCTGTTGCTGCTGCACTGAGCTTTGCCTCCCGTTTCCATGGCTTCCAGCCCAAAGAGAGCAGAGCGGAGCAGCTGCAGGATCGGCCCGTGGCTAGCTGGCGGCGGGTTCCCAAACCACCTGCCCCAGGAGCGCAGCCACCGAGTCTGTGCTCCTCCCAGCCCATCAGCCCGCCGCTCGCTGCACACACAATGATTTCCTTTGCTGCCTCTGTACCCTTGGAGCAAAGCTTCTGAATGAATGGGCTTTGCAAATGGGCCATATTCTCCTTTCAGCTGCATTAGTACAAACCCATTGAAACCAGAAGGGTTGCAGCAGCAGACAATACAAATGAGAGACCGCTTTGGCTCAGATGTCTCCAGTTTGTCACTCAAAGGGCATTTGGTCTTGCTCTGGGGTTCAGCTTGTCTTTGCAAGGATTGTCCCACAGGTTTGTGGTTATATCACTGTTGTGTAGCTTCCCCAACTACATCCCACTCCACAGTCCTCAGTGCAACCCTGTACAGTAGGAGGCAGAATGATCTCAATGTAGGTTCAGATTCAAGCACCCGCTGCCAAACCCTGTCAGTGAAAGGGAGTCGATCTGCATCAGGCTCACAACTTTTCTATGTATCTACAATCATCAGCCACAAAATGCCCCTCTCATGCAGCTGTAAAAGGATATCAAGTCTAAACTGACATAGTTAACTGAGGGCTTCGGGAAATTATGAACTGGGAGTGCTCAGGGGAAGGCGGTAGTGACAAAAACACAACTCTGCAATGTAATTCACATTCTTGAGTCTTATAACGTCCCCAGCCTTAAGGATGCTCACACCATCAGCGCCTGAATATCCATCCCAGACTGCCCAATGGCAACACACCATCAGCACCTGACCATCCATCCCAGGCTGCCTCATGGCAACACACACCATCAGCGCCTGACCATACATCCCAGGCTGCCCAATGGGAACATACACCAACAGTGCCTGTACCTCCATCATGGGTTACACCTAAGGACTCACACCAGCTTGTTCAGTTGTCATGAACCAACTCCCAAGGGCATTGACAGCAGCAGCTCCTGTTCGTGTCACACACACCACCCACTAAGGCAGCTCATATCATTGCTACCACACTGGCCCTTTCTTCTGGGCCACCTATGAACACCCACACTGATGGTGTATGATCGCATGTGTTCACTTATCACAGGATGTCCCTAAAGGTGCTGACATTGATGGTTCCCATGACAACCCATTCATTCAGCATGAGCCTACCTCTAAAGATGTTTGTACCACGAGTGCCCATGCCAGCCTGGTTATCTGTCATGGGTTGCCCATGCTCAGAGTTCGTCCTACACAGGCCACACCTCACTGTGTTCTCACAGTTGGTGCCTGTGGCATTCTGTTTATGCCTCATCTCATGGACAGCTGTCATACTGCCTTAGACCTTGAGAAGACAGACTAGATTTGCAGTGTGTTCCATGGTGCCTTTTAAACTGTTGAGTGTCCCAAGGGCTTCACAAAGCAAGAGCCTGGATACTATAATGCTGTGATTGGGATGGCAAATAGGGCACCCATTTTGGTGCACAGCTACAACTCACACATCTCTGGAGGTCAAAAACTGTTTTTACTGGGAAAAGCCAGGACAACCCCTCCCACTGACATGTTAGCAACACCAAGGAAGCTTCAACTCATCTGGACAATGTCCAACTGGGGACAGGCAGAAGAGATCTGAATGTAACATATCCAATTATTTCATATCACATCTCCCATTCCATCCCCCACTATAGCACCGAGGGTTATCCCAAATCCCTATGTGGGGCTTGAACCCATGACCTGCCGGCCTAGAAGAAATTGCAGATACAATACAAGAGGTATATCTGATGACACAAGAACTCGTCAGTCATTGTCACACTCTTTTTTCTGGTGGTGAGAGATGAACTCAGTATTAAATATTCAGGAGCTTGTGTTCTCTAGACTGCTATTGGAGTATGTTGAAACTTTCCCCTCTCTGCATAAGTCTGTGACATACTTAATGAATCTCTGTCATGCTCACATGGAGGGAATCTATGACTTCACTGCCCCTGGGATCTCCCTTGAGAATGGGAGTAAGGTGTGAGAACAACAGGGGACTTAAGGGCAACCCTGGCATTTTTTATGTGTGCACGTTTCTGTCTTTCCCCATAGAAAAGTGAGTGTGACAGTGCACCCCATAAGGTTTTATGGAAATATGCTTATGAATGTATATATGACATAACTGGAATATGTTTTATGCTACATATGCCATGTAACATATTTCTGTAAAGGTTATGATCTACTGAATACATTCCTCCTATTTGTATACATGTATAATTTTTGTACTTGAAGTTAGGAATATTGGCTGTATACTTGCTTGATTTCTAAGTAGCCTTAGTTAAGCATTTGGACAGCTTCTTGAGAAAGGAAAGTGCAAGTTAAGTGCCCAGTCAAGAAGCACTTAATGTGTCATAACTATAAAGGGAAGGGTAACAGCTCTCCTGTGTACAGAGACTCCAAATCCTTTTACCTGTAAAGAGTTAAGAAGCTCGGGTAACCTGGCTGACACCTGACCCTAAGGACCAATAAGGGGACAAGATACTTTCAAATCTTGGGGGGGGGGGGAAAGGCTTTTGTTTTGTGCCCTTTGTTTAAGGGGTTGTTCGCTCTTGGGACTGAGAGGGACCAGACATCAATCCAGGTTCTCCCCATCTTTCTAAACAAGTCTCTCTTATTTCAAAATTGTAAGTAAAAGCCAGGCAAGGTGTCTTAGATTTACTTTGTTTTCTCAACTTGTAAATGTACCTTTTACCAGAGTGTTTATCTTTGTTTGCTGTACTTTGAACCTAAGACAGAGGGGGGTCCTCTGAGCTCTTTAAGTTTGTTACCCTGTAAAGTTATTTTCCATACTGATTTTACAGAGATGATTTTTACCTTTTTCTTTAATTAAAAGCCTTCTTTTTAAGAACCAGATTGATTTCTCCTTGTTTTAAGATCCAAGGGGGTTTGGATCTGTATTCACCAGGGAATTGATGAGAGGTTTCTCAAGGCTTCCCAGGGAGGGAATCCAGTGAGAATGGTGGCAGCGGGACCAGAGCTAAGCTGGTAGTTAAGCTTAGAAGTTTTCATGCAGGCCCCTACATTTGTACCCTAAAGTTCAAAGTGGGGATACAGCCTTGACACCTTAGTTAAGCATTTGGACAGCTTCTTGAGAAAGGAAAGTGCAAGTTAAGTGCCCAATCAAGAAGCACTTAATGGACAATGGATCTTGGAAGGCTCCAATCCACATAAGAAGTCTACTTGAGGATGTTCAAGGTGGCGTGTGAACCATGGCTGCTACCTGTAAGTTCTGAGTCATGCATGGACATGTGACTTGCCCATGTGACTCCCAAACTCCATCTTGTAGCTGGGATTCTACACAGGGGGTGGGAGGGGTATCCACACAGAAGAAAAAGTCTATTTAAACCTCTGGGAGACCCCTGCATTTGGTCTTCAGCTGGCTCAAGAGATAGCCTTTCCATCCGCAAGGATATCTGAGAGAAACTGGAACAAAGGACAGCAACTACAGGTGGTGTGAGTGATTGCTAGACCCAGACTAGAAGGAGACTAGTCTGTAAAAGGAAGCTTACTGGAACACCTCCGAGGGTGAGGTTTTATCTGTATTCAGTTTTCTTACTGTATTAGACATAGATTTGCGTGTTCTATTTTATTTTGCTTGGTAATTCACTTTGTTCTGTCTGTTACTACTTGGAACCACTTAAATCCTACTTTCTGTATTTAATAAAATCACCTTTTACTTATTAATTAACCCAGAGTATGTATTAATACCTGGGGGAGGGGAAACAGCTGTGCATTTCTCTTTATCAGTGTTATAGAGGGCGAACAATTTATAAGTGTACCCTGTATAAGTTTTATACAGGGTAAAATGGATTTATTTGGGGTTTGGACCCCATTGGGAGTTAAGCATCTGAGTGTTAAAGACAGGAACGCTTCTTAAACTGCTTTCAGTTTAAGCCTACCGCTGTTAGGGGACGTGGTTCAGACCTGGGTCTGGGTTTTCAGCAGGCTAGTGGGTCTGGCTCAAACCAGGCAGGGCACTGAAGTCCGAAGCTGCCAGGGCAAGAAAGCAGGGGCAGAAGTAGTCTTGGCACATGAGTTGGCAGCCCCCAGGGGGTTTCTGTGATCCAAGCCATCACAGTGAGACTTTTAAGGCCCCTCAAAATAAATGGATTGAAGGAAGCATCCAGGGCAGACATGAAATGCATGTCGTGTATTTGGGGAATACATTAAAAGAAAGTGGAGGGGATATTGGTAGGATAAGCGTGGGGGGGGGGGGTGGACAGCTGAGTAGCAGGCAGAGACAGCTCCCTGGCTGTAATCATGATGAGCACGAGCCAGCCCCTAGAACAGTGGTTCCCAAATTTTAACAACCCCTTTCACTAAAATGTCAAGTCTCGTGAACCCCCTCCTAAAAATGAATATTTCCAGGGATTTTCTCCCTTACCTCAGCATAAATTAGAAAAGCAGTG